CTCTCTCTCTCTCTCTCTCTCTCTCTCTCTCTCTCTAATAAATTAACCAAGGTAGGGTTGATAGAAGCTAGGCGATGATAGCAGATACTTTAAAAAATCATAACTTGCTGAAAAATCAAGATATTTAATTCTTTTTTTTTCAATTTCATCAGAAATTTAAAAACTTGAATTGTAAAGATAGATATATATATATATTCTATTTATAACAAAGTTATTATAATTTGAAATCGTCTTCTTAAAATTAAATTGGCTGTCCTTGATAAAATTGATTTTTGCCTTCAGCTAAGGATTTCATTATTTCATGAATTTTTTTACCTGCCATTCCGAACAGGTAGAAGGAAATTTACATGGAGAAATATTTTCAGAGGCGGCACCTTTACATTCACTACGGGGTGATGTACTTTATGCGCATGCGCCAGCGCATAGAAAACCACACATTACAACGTCTGCTCAGCCATCACAGCCTCACATTAATAGCCTCCCAATATCCAGTGATAGAAATAACTGTGACGACGAAAATATCTATTACAAGCTAATAAAAAATTACAATTTCACACTTTCTATCGGGTCAATTATTTTCGCTAATTCCCACAAAAAATATATACATAAATTTCGAAACACTAAGTCTTGTTTCGCCATTAGAGCTGAATAATTCGAAATAGGCAGTTTGAAATGTCCAAATCTGCATTCAAAATCCGGTAATGTTGATTTAAGCCACATCATTGGAAAATTGTATGAGACACCGTACCTTCCCCGAAAGTATGAATTTGTCTTCGTTAATAGAATCTGTAATGACTAGAAAATTATACTTCGTATACTTATACTTAGTAATACAAGAATTGTTTGGCGTATTTTTCGTCGCAGAAATCTTACTTTGTTTAAGCATGTCAAGTTTAGATGCTCTTTTCCGATATTAAGTTCCGAAATAAGTAGTGTTTTTAATTTCTATATTTTTTGGTTACCACCAATTGCGTTGGACGTTCACCTTAACGGTTCCTAAATCAAGAATGGAAACAAATTGGCTCTTATAGAAAAATATCTGAATATAAACTGAAGAATAATGTAAATGGTAGACACATAATTTTACATGGCATTCAGAATTCCTTGACAGCAGATTCCTAATTTAGAAATACGCCACTTGTACATGTTATATAGTAAGATATTTTTGTTAAATTTTATTTAACAAAGTAACATTAAGTTGAAAAAATTAATTTTATGCTTTACATGAATGGACATCGTGTACCAGCAATTTTCTTTATTTCTGAAGCCTGGTTATCAAGCTCAATTCATTAATGCACTGTTTCTATACCTGCTAACGATTTGTTGGTACCCATGAAAATTCAGCTACGCACTGAAGTGCTTGATATTATTTCCCCCTCTTAGTATCGCATCAAGTTTCATTGACACGATAATTGAGAGGATGACCGGAATGACCTGTCTAGAATGTTCAAAGTGATTCTGGTGTGCAGAGCTCAATCACTAATATTTCAAACAATATCCATAGAAAACCACGATGATCCATACACGTGCACTTTGACAAAACTACTATTCGATGACTTGACTAAAAATTAGAATTCTTTAAAAGAATTATTCAAACGGATCGTTGATTGATCATTCATTGTAGATTCTTGGAAGAGGAAATGGATTTTGTTTTAATAATTTAATTCTGTACATCTACCGTATGTAAAGATAGCAATGAATTGTAGAAATTAGTCCAACTATAAGTCTGTTATGGATAGGATAGAATAAATCAGGGGAGTAATGACTAGATAGATCGGAGCCGTGGTTCGCGTTCATAGTGGGCCGCGGTCTGGTAGTAAGTGCATCTGATTTTTGTCAAACAACTGGTGACGTTTCAGTTGAATAAAGCTTTGTACCTTTCTTCATTTTTTAAAGATTCTTGTTTTGGATTTCAATTATTTCGTTTCATCGAGTGATAATGAAAGGTTTTATGGTATTATTTCTTGGAATTTTAATTCTTAATTTTTTGGAAATCTCGGGGCGAAGAGGTCGAGGTAGGAGTCGAAGCAAGTCACGAGTTCAAATTGGACTACCAATCACCGGAAAATACCGAGATCCAGAAAGTGATCAGTATTATAATAATAATAATGTACGTTGGGAGAGGACAGTCGTAAAAATTATTACTCGCTGTAGATATTTTTGTTGTATAAATTTAAAAAGAATGAACGAAATTATCACATTAGATAGGATATCAGTCTATTTCATCATTGATAATCTTTGTACTTGGATAATTTTTTCATGATTCAGGGCGCAAAAATTCTGTTGGCATCTCATTTTGATCTTGAATACGTCCTGGGCCACAAAATAGCTTTTCTCTGTGTCGCCAGAGGATCACCACGACCCCACATCACCTGGTTCAAAGATGGAGCAGAAATATACAGTCATTTGTATCTTCACGTAAGTGAAAAGATATTTTAGTCATCTGCATGAATAATATATACAACACATACACAAGTGAAGAAATTTAGATTGGATTAAAAGAGAAGTAGATCTTATGAAATAAGTATGAAAATATCCTTTAATGTACATGGTCAGTAAATCAAAATCAAATTCAGTTTTCTGTACAGTTACTCTTTAAAATTTCAAATTTTCTCAAAATCAATTTAATAATTTTCACTGTTTTTTAGTCAGGTCGAAATTTCCTATTATATGACTGGCGAAAAGTAGTTCTTGACTTGTGGGTGGTTGGCGGTACTTGCTAATGGGTGAGTGCTGCCCCTCTACCGGTGGAAGAATGCTTCCCACAATTGTTGGATTCTATTTTTTAGTCCGATGTGCCATGAGTAAGTGTCTTGGCTTATGAAGCGTACATAGAAAAACACTTCGCACACAGTATGAGGAGATATTCCATATTGTAGTCGGGAATAAAAAATTAATTTTCCGCTAGTGGAAATTTTGATGGCGTAGCAACTGTCCGTTGAGAGTGCTCGCCTGGACACTTGATTCCGTTTTTTCAGTTCGCGACTGTCGCCCGTCAACCGTTTGGGCGACAGCGCCTAGGCATTAGATTTGTACTACGGTCATCACTCTGTGTGTAAAGTGATATTTTATACCTGCTCTGGGTGCGTTAATTCTCACTTGCCACCCTTTGAGATGTCTATCATCCAGTACTCTCATAAAAAGCGTTCTTTTTCCCCTGGGAGGGTAACACTTGCATTCCGTGAGTGCTATCCACTTCCCGCTAGTCAAAACTACTTTTCCACCTTCATATCTACCGAAGTGGAAATATCGATCAAGTCCAGATCAGGATTTGATCAGGTCAACCTTATTTAAACTGGATATACAATAATTATTGGAATGGAATAAACAATAATTATTCGCTGAAAACAAAAAATAATGAAATTTTATTATTATAGTTCATCTCCTTTAATGCATCCCTTCCATTATTAATGATAAAAACACTTATTGTTTTTCGATGCTGGGCCTCGAACCTGCGATGTTCCGATTACCAGTCCTATGCCCGGTCCACTACGTTTTTTTTTTAGAGTTTCTTTATTTTAGTCCTTTAATTTGACTAAATTACAGGCTTAAAATTAACTGCGTGAAAAAAATAGCCTTAAGTTATACGATATTAGTGATAAAGCTGGTCTACAGGAGACATCTCGCTCATCAACGATTTCAGCCGATTACGGGCTAGTGGTGCAAGATGTATCGTGACTTGGCTGAATAAATTCATAGTGTCTGTATTTCGTGTTAACGTTGAGTATGTGGAAAAATGAGGACCGTATGGCAAAGAAAAAAAAACAACGAGACTTGGGTGAAACTGAAAAGCTAGATGTAAACCTACTATGTACAAATATATACACTGGATCACAAAGGCTGACGGGAGCAGCCATCCCTCTATCCTTTTTCGGCGGAAGCCTGGAGCCAGGAGCGCTAGGGGATGGCAGAGTTTCCGGGTTGAGTGTTCAGCCTTAGTGTCAGTTCGGGGATGAGCTTGGCGTCTTCCTCCACCCGACTAAATCCAGTGTTGAGGGGGTGGTTGTCTAGAGCAGGGATGGGCAACCTCTGCTCTGAGAGCAAGTCGTGCTCCCGACCTCTATTAGTACATAACAAAGGGTAGACGAAAGCTTATTGTGTCGGGTGATGGGCCTTTATGACCCAAGTCGTAAAGGGCCTTCTCCTCGGCTGAAATCAACCAAAGTGGGGGTAACACGTCAGAACAGGAGAAGAGGAGAAATATCGCTGAAGAAAAGGAAAAGCGGGGAAATGAGTAAAAAATGGAAAATGTGGAATTTTCTTCACGATGTCATTTTTATTAATTTTGAAAGCAGACGTTACGAATGGAATGTAAAGACCGGCTGTGTAATTTCAAAAGCAAGGAATAATTCCACAAGGTTCTTTGAAGAAGATTTTTTAAAAATATTATTTTTTAAAAATATTCCTTTTTTATATTCAGAATCAACATCAGCCAGTCAAAACTGCAATGTTTGGGATTTTTTCCTAGACATATTTTTCGGTAAGGTCGATATTGGACCAAAAATTTAAAAAGCAAGCTGAAAGATGTCATTAATTCGGAAAGTTGAATTTGAAGAGTACTTTCATATTTATTTCAATGCCCAATAGTTATCTTCATATTCAGAAAAGTTTTTGTCCATGTGTGGATATTTAACTTTCTCTTTATATTAATCACGGCGGCCATTTTCCCCATTTTACCATTTGGCAGAGACGTCATGGGACGCTCCCCGATACGGTGACTGTGAGGCCCCCACTACTGTCCCTACTATGATCGTACTAGGACCCTTATAATTGGCATGGTTATAAACTTTATTGGATTCCTAACTCGAGTTTATGACTCTGCTCCGAGCTACCTGAAGGTTGCCCATCCCTGGTCTAGAGAGTCGCGGCGCGGGATTGCCGTGGAGAATTTTACTGGATGATTATCGAAGTCCTGGAGCGGAATTGGTTTGTCGTGGGGGGGGGGGGGGTGAAACAGCTTTGGAATATTGTTGGCATCCTGTATGATGTCAAGCCTGTCCAGATGTATGAAAGGTTGTGGCTGCAAGTAAACAGATAGGGTGACCAGGTTGGATTTGATGAGGTCAGCACGGTAGAGCTTCATTATAGTGTCGTTGTCAATTTTTGTTAGATGGGCGAAATAATATCTGGTGAGTCTTATGATGGAACTGTCGATCCTGGGTATGTTCGCTTCATTGTATAGGGCCTGGTTGCTAATCATGAGTTGATTGAGTGAGTGTGGGGACCTGTATTTATGGAGTGCAGCGCGGATGCACTTACGCTCGAAGGGTGTTAGTTTCTCGATGGTGGAGGCGGCCATATTCCACCATACTTGGTAGGCGTAGGTCAGGAGGGGTCTGACGAGCAGCAGATAACACATTATGCGGGTGCGATGCGAGACCAGGTGATTATGGAAGAGGCGTTTCAGGGAGTGGAAGCTGATTTCTTTTTTTCAGCTGACTGTTGACGTGATTGGAGCAGCGAGGATGTTGCTCAACGTGGACCCCCAAGAATTTGACGGAATGCTTAGTGGGGATTGTCACTTCTACTCTGGTATCCGGCTTGAACGTAGATATTTTTAGGGCGTTGATTCTGGGCAGGTTGCACCTGTTAATCTCCTGGATTGGTCTTCGTACGAGAATAGTCTCTCACTTGAGGGGGTTCATGCGGAGCTTCCACAGTGAATAAGAGTTGTTTATTTTGTTGACGAGGGTTTGAAGAGTCGGCTGGATGCTCTTGACATTTTTTCCTACCACATAGACTATTAGGTCGTCGGCATAGGCGATTGAGTGTGTATTAATGGTGGTGTTGACGGCGAATGAGTTAAGAATATCGTTGGCGCATATGGAGAAGAGACGTGGGGAGTTCACGGTGCCTTGCTGGAGGCCTTCCAAGATCCGGAAACATTTGCTGGATGAGTGAGTCCCGTTCGTCGTGTCGAACGTCCTATTGCTGATCATGTCTCAGATGAGCCTGAACAGGTTGATGGGGAATTTAAAAAAACTGAGGATGTATACCAGCCCACCCAGCCAAACGGAATCAAAAGCTTTTTCGAGGTCTACGAGTGTTGCATGAGCATGAGGTGGAGGGCTTTATTTACATCGACGAGAAATTTGTGTATGGCGTGGGTGGTGGAGTGGCGATGGCGGAATCCAAACTGGTTGTCGGGGATTATTTTGTCCTGGTTGCAGTACCGGGTGATCAGGTTGTTGATAATTATGTAATAGGCTTTACTGAGATTGGGTGTGAGGCTGATGAAGCAGTAACTGGAGGGGTCATCGCTGGGTTTCTCCTTCTTCAGATATGGAATCGCCTGTGTTACCTTCCAGATTTTGGAGAAATAGTTGTTGTTGAGCGCGTTGTTGATGAGGGTTGTGAAGTCTTTGATAATGTTGAGCGGGAGGTGCCGGATTATGACAGTTGGGATTTTGTCAATACCACTGGATATCTTGTTTGGGAGCTTTTTGATTATCGTCGCTATTTCTGCTGGTGTGGTGAAGTATCTCTCAAGGTTGTCCTCCTTGGGGTTGTCTGCTCGGTTTTCTGATCTTATGATGAAGTCAACTTCATTTTGCCTATATGATCTCTATCGGGGTACTGGTTAACTTTGTAATTATTGGCGGATGTGCGTATACTTTAAGAGATTTTTTCGGTTAGAATTGAATTCCTTTGATGAAAAAGAATTCAAATAACGATTAATAACGAATAATGATTTTAATAATATAATACCAGTGAATAAATCGAAGTTAGAGGACCACTTTCTTCTTCAAAATAATTTACTTGTAAGTTTAATAAGTCTACACATATTTGCACAAAAAACTTGAATAAAGTATATTGTATACTTTATTCATAATGGTATCACTTTTCCCTCCCCATATATTTAACGTAGTCTATAATTTTCGGGAACCGGACGTCTGGACCCAAATTTGATCAGGTTCTCGTCAGGAATCATCTGACCAGACTAAGCTCAGACTGATTGAATGGGAACCCGATCTGGTTCTACAAGGACTATTTCTGTTCCAATGAACTAGATCAAAACTTGATGAGTTTCTTCTCAAGAATGGCCTGATCAAACTAAAACCAAGCTGATCAAGTAAAAACCTGATCGTAGTCTACTTTAGATAATTCGGATCAGAGTAACTTGATCAAGACTTGATCAGTTTCTCATCATGTCTTGCCTGAACAGATTATGATCAAGCTGACCAGATCAAAACCTGATCCTAATCCATCTTAGGTAATTCGGATCAGAGTAACTTGATCAAAACTTGATCAGTTTTTATCAGACATTGCCTGAGCAAGCAAACCTGACGAATACTGGATCAAATACTGATCCAACTTCAGGGTAACCTGAGGTAATTACCACTTGGGTAATTGTCTAAATCTATGTTGAAATGCTTGCGAAAAAAGTTTACATTTCGGTAGCACTTTACGTGCATAAA